GTGTGAGGAAGATCAGCCCTGAGCTAATAACATCTGATGCCAATCCTCCTCTTTTTTTCTGAGAAAGATTGGCCCTGGGCTAACATCAGGGCCCATCTTCCTCTACTTTATACGGGACACCGCCACAGCATGGCCTGACAAGCGGTGAGTCGGTTCACGCCTGGGATCTGAACCTGCGAACCCCGGGCCACCGCAGCGGAGCCCACGCGCTTAACCACTACGCTACTGGGCCAGCCCCCGTGACAGATTTTTTTAAAAACTGAGACTCATAAAATGTAAGTGATTTGCTCTAGGTCATACAGCTAGGCCACACTAGGGCAAACATGCTCTTTGTGCAAGAGCAGAGACAGAAACCCAAGACTCTAGATCTTCACTCTGGGCTTTTTCTACCACATCCATGCCTAGAGATTTCCCTCCTGCCATTTTACTCGGAGGTCATGGTACTTCTGAGCCTAGAAGTCCCAGAACCCTAAAGCAATAGATGCTTCCCTGATGGCTGAGATCCAGTGAAGTCAACACGTGACCCTAGGAGTCTAGTCCATAGCCAAGCTCCAGGAGACCCTTGAAGACAATGTGGTATGGCAACACCACCTAAACCACCCCCTCCAGGGTCCTGTGAACAAAAGGGTCCCAGGGGCACCTTGAGGGAGTTATAGTCTTCCAGCCTCCCTGGGAATCTTTCAGAACCCAGTTCCTGGAATCTTGCTCCCCAAAATAGTCCTGTGGAACAAAAAAGATCCCTCAGGTTGCCCCAGAGCCTCATTACCCTCAAATCTACCCCGGTTCTTCCACGTTTGCAGAACAATGCTGTTCAAATCCTCTACTCTCCTAAGACCGCCCAGAATCCTCACTGGGATATCCACCGTCATCCTTTGAGGGCAATCGCTCTTGAAGCCTCAACTCCCCACCTGGCTAGGTCACACAATTCCCTCAAACCAATAAGCTGTGAGCAGTCGTGACATAAGAACAGGTCCCCCTAATAAGGCCCATGTTCTCATATCAAAGCTTCTATCGCTGCACTGGGTTTGGCCACCTCCAACCAGCATGAACTGTAGCCCATGCCCTCTCTCCTTGCAGGCAAGGGGGTGAGGCACAAAAGGGATCTATAAGCATTATTCACAGAGCTTTTCTTCACAGAGCTGTGCCAGCTCATAGACTGAAATGGAAATACCCCCAGAAGGTGTCGGGTCGGCGCAACGTACCATGGTCCTTCACCAGGGCCTCCATCTCCTCTTGGATGCCCTTATGCCACTCAGTGATGTCCACGTGCAGAGAGTAGTCGCAGCAGGACTTGCTGTCGGCCCATTCCCTCCACTGGTCGAAAGCAGCCAGCAGGCTTGTCCCAGGCTCGGGAACGACATGGTCAACTAGAAAAGAACAGAGATTTGTCATCATCAAGAGAAACCTTAAAGGCCACAGGGCAGCAGGTGTTTTCCCATTTCAATCCTGAACAAGGCTTCTCAAGTTCAAAATCGAGATGGTGATCTCTATAACCAGCTTCTAAGAATCCACTTAAGCCAGCTGACTACCCAAGAGCGAGAAAGCAGAAAGGAAAAACTTGGCATGGCATGACTGCTCCAGTGAAACCACGCATGAACTGCCCAGATCTGATTTCCCAGCTCAAAACCCCTGAAAGCCCACACCTCAGGCACTTTTCACGGACAATGAGTCCTTATGGACAATGGCAGTGTCAAATGGCCGGCCAGAGCTGCCAAACCTCTTTCTGTGTTGATAGCTGCTTGTGAGACGCCCCCCCTAGAGGACAAGGAACTTGAAGATGCTGGACCGGAGCCACGCAGACTGGGCCTTTTAAATGCTCCCTGGCATATCCACTCTCTCATCTCCACTCGTATTTCTCCAGCATAATACCACTTTGTAATTTAAGGGAGATCTTTCAACTTAAGAGTTCAAAGCATTTGAAAACCGTGGTTATCGTTGTATTATTATTGAGCTAGGCTGATAGAGGACAGAGGACTCTGGAATTAGGCTGACCTGAGATTGTTTCCTGGCTCCACAACCCACCAGCAAGGCACTCTTGGGTAAACTATTTCATCTCCACTACCCGAAGTTCCTGTGCTGGTTTAAAATAGAGATATTACCTACCACGTCTGTAGGTAGGTATGTATGAGGATTGTTATGAGGATTAACTGAGACAGCATATCTATCAACCGTATTTCACTCCTCTATTTAAATCCTCCAATGGCTCCCTCTTGCTCTTCAGATAAAGATTAAAGTCCCCACCAAGGTCTACAAGACCCTGACCAGCTTGGCCCCTGCCTACCTCTACAGCATCACCCTGGACCGTCTCCCCCTTGCACTCTGCTCTCCAACCACACCAGCTGCTTTTCAGTTCCTACAACAGCAGCCTGCTCCCTTCTGCCACAGGGCCTTTGCACATTATTGTCTCTCTTAGGTCTTGGAGAGCTCTCACCCAGTTACCATGATGACAGGAGGTTTACCAGAACTATTAATGACCCATCTTCTACACAGGGACACTAGAATACAAACTGAAATGACTTGTCCAAGGTGAAATCAAATTTATGCAACAAAGAAGATAAAATCCAGGATTCTTGATGCCCAAAGCAATGAATAATTCTTCTAAATAAAATATTAGATTTTCTATACCCAGGTAAGCAGTTCTCAGCTAAGAAAATGCCAACCCAGGCAATGTTAGTGAGCTCAGATTTCTGAAATGGATCAAATCTTGCAGATGCTGCTAAATTGTAACCAACTGAGCTTGGCTTTATATGTCTCAAAAATATGGACATCTACGCTGAATTTTCTTTTGATAAATTTTACTTTGTGTAAGTAGTAGTATATGTAATGAAATGGGTACATACATAGCTGGTACTGTAAGAATATAATGTCATCTAAATGAAAGCAATGAGAATGTACACTTGTAATGCAAGCCTGTCCCATTTGTAAAATGCTAACACAGAAACCCTGACAAAACAATTCCAATTTTCTTCTTAAATTGTGTCCCCCAACCCTCTGGGGAAAAAAAAGAGGATAACACAACTTTGTAGCAATCACAATTTGGACAGAATCTCCCCAGGCTTCATCTGTTGTCCTCTTCCAAACCACTATTCATAGCAGCCAGAAGGATCTTAAACCTTTCATCAGATCCTGTCCCTCTCCTAATTAAATCCTGTCCACCATCTTTAGAGTAAAATTCAAACTCCTTCTCTTGGTCCTGCAATCCGGCCCTGGCTCATCTCTCCACTCTCTGCCCCCTGCCCCCTGCCACCACCATCAGGCCACCCCGGCCGTGTTTCACTCTGACCTGCCCAACCCCTACTCACCTCCAGGCCTCTGTACAAGCAGTCTCCTCTCTCTGGAAACCCCTCCCCTGGCTCTGTACTCGGGCCTCTCCCCCTCCTCCTTCTCATCAGGCTGAACGTCACCATCCCAGGATCGCATCACCATGTGCAGGAGTTTCTGTATCAGTTTCCCTAGCGTGCTGACTCCCGACTAGGATGTCAACTCCCTGAAAGCAGGAAGTGGGTGCCTCGAGAGAGGAAGTGCTCAGTAAATATTTTCAATAAACGGATCGATGTTCCCTTCCAGCTCACATTCCACACTGCAAGAGCAGGTCCAGCACAGAAGGAGGTGCTCTCCTGGGAACACAACCAGATTTTCCTGCTCAACCCCAAGCATACGTAAGACCATCTGGTGCCATGCTGCTCAAACTTCAGGGTTATAAGAATTCTCTTGAGAGCGTATAAAACACAGGTTTGCGGACATCACCCCCACAGTTTCAGTTTCAGCAGGTCTGGACTGGGACCTGAGAATTTGCATTTTTAATAAGCTCCTGGGAGCTAAAGAGTCCACCTTGGACCACTTTGAACATCACTAATTGAGTGCAAATCCTTTCAGATTTACTCTCCTGTCACCTCCATTCACTCAGAGGCATTATACTGCAAGGGTCCCCTTGACCACCCAACAGTATCATCACTTATAAATACCATCAGGTTCCCTGGCTGTAATACCATGGCTTCCCTCCATATCCAAAAATAGCTCCTAGAGTTATGAACCCTTGAAAGCTCAGGATAGACAAAGCTGAGGGCTTCAGGGAAATAAACATATTTCCTCCAAGAGCTAATGACACTCAGAAATGTGTCCACGAAAAGTCTCCACATGTTTTCCCACAGATCTCTTTCCATAGAAGCTCTCCTGGGAAGAGCTGCTCCAGGGAAGAGAGCAGAATGTCACGCTTCCTTCCGGAAGGAGCAGATTCCCCACTGAGCACACAGCCTGAAAGCGACTTGCCCCGAACCCACAGGCCTTTTCTCTGGTGACTTTCCTAAGCTATCCGCCCCTGGAGGAGCCTGGCTTTTGCCTTGGAGCTGACTTCTCTCCACTCGTGAGAGACATGAGGGAAAGCGCATCAACCCCGCCTTCCAGCGGACTGTGGGGTCAATGAGGCCCAAGTTCTGGTTCTGGTTCCTGCTGCAGGGCCTTCTCACTGAACAATCTTTGGAACCTCCATTTCTTCACCTATAAAACATGGCCCGCCCTACTGGGAGGGCTGCAAGAAGTTTAAGAAAGCGTGTGCGAAAGCACCTGGCAAATGTCTGGCACACACGGAGTTTTCATTCCCTCAGGATGAGCAATCGGAAACCCCACTGTGGTTTCAGTGGGAGGCCGTGAATGTGGTTTATGAGGGAGCCCAGAATATGCCCCAGGACAGTGGCCTGAATTTAGGCCTGAATTTAAAACCAATGTCTAGAAGTGCTTTCATCTAGAAGACACTAGCTATTTCCAAAGGACTAGCATTCCTTCTCTTAAAACTGTCAAAGGACCCTAAATTTTTTTATTGAGATGTAATTCACATACTATACAATTCACCCATTTAAACTGCGTAATTCAATGGTTTTTAGTCTAGTCACAGAGTTGTGCAACCATCGCCACAATCTAATTGTAGAACATCACCCAAAAAAGAAACCCCAGACCCATCAGCAGGCCCTCCCCCTGCCCTCCTATCCTTGCTACTCCCGGCCCTAAGCAATCACTAACTTGCTTTCTGTCTCTAAAGATTTGCCTATTCTGGACATTTCATATAAAAGGAATCATACAATATGTGGCCTTTTGTGTCTGGCTTCTTTCACTCAGCATAATGCTTTCAGGGTTCATCCACATTGCAGTGTGTCAGCACTCCATTCCTTTTCATTGCCCTCACTGGTTCTGGTATCTGATTTTTACGTTTATTGGATAATGGCAAAGTGTTAGACACAGAGTAAACAAGCTGCTCCTTGAAATTTATACAGGACTCCCTTGGAGTAGTATTTGAAAGACTCTAATTTTTTTAACTTTTTATTTTGAGGTAAATGTAGCTTCACACGCAGTTGTGAGAAATGATACAGAGAGATCCTCAGACCTTCCACACAGCGACGCCCAGGGGTAACGTCTTGCCCAACTTCAGCACAACATCACAACCAAGAAGTCAACGCTGACATAATCCAAGACCCTAGTTTTTAAAAGGCCAGTGCGGTTGGTATTTCTGACCAGTTCTCAAGGGGCCCTTCGTATTTAAAACACAGAGAGAGGCCAGAAAAGTCATCACCGCGTCCCTGTTCTGGAATTGAAGAGACGAGCAGGAACCACATTCCAAAAATCTGCCAGGGGGGATAAGCAGGTGGAGAGAAGGAAGAGGGGGGACAGCCCTGCCAGGTCCCCTTTTTGGCTCCCAGCTTCTTTGAAGCCTCACACCCAGTCGCAGGAAGGGGCAGTTCTACACACACCACCCGCGCCCCCGGGATACCTACTCTATCAGAATCACCCATCGCCAGCCTCCCATTCCAGAATCATCACTGCTCATTCTCTAGTCCCAGCACCTAACTGCGTGTGCATCAGTCTCTCCCTTTTTCATCTTAGATAAATTAATGGACTTGAATGAAAAGCAAACCACCAGGGAGATGACAACAGAAGCCACAGCTGGCTTATCTACAGCGTCCCCGAGCTGGCATCCACTCAGCAAAATGCCGGGTGACCTATTCAACAAGGAATGGCTTTTGTTGGTGGAGAGATAAGAACCTTTGGGAGCCTGGCCGGCCAGTTAGAATAACATGGTTTTGTTCTGAAAAACAGGCAGAAAAGGAAGAGAAGACACCTGCCGCTGAGAATCTAAGGGGTCCCCAGAGAAGTGTTGGAGGACAGATGGGGTCAGACGCCTGAGTTCTGGCAAGTTCTGCCGCTTATTCATCACGTGACTTTGGGCAAGATATTCAACCTCCCTGGGCTTCAGCTTCCTTATCTGTAAAATGGGGCTAATATTGGTACCTGACCCATCGGGTTCTAGCGAGGTGTAAATGAGCTAATACGGGAACAACTTAGAAGAGCGCCTGGTACATGGACGAGCTCAATAAACACAGCAAGAAGACAAGGTTCCAGTCCTTTACAAGGAAAACTGTCTGGCATTAACCCCTCCGTGAAGTATGTGGGGGCCTCTAAAGCACACCGTTACAGGGCTAACTACTTGCCTTGTGCAAATCCACTGCTTCTCCTGCAACACAAGGAAGCATTGTTCTCAGCGCTGGAACCATCTAGAATGTTTGTGCCTGATGTTCTCATCTACAAACTGATGACAATAACGTACCTCACAGCATTTTCTGAGTGTTCACTGAGAAGGTGTTCGTCAACTACAAAGCACTCTTCAAATATGACCAGTTATCATTCGTCTTTTCTTCCCTGTGTCCCCTAAAGCACTAAGCCAAAGCACGGGCACACAGAAGGTGCTCAATGAGCACAGGAGAGACCACACATCATGCGCGCCTCTGGCAAACAAGGCCTTGGCCAACTCTAGCCCCGGAGCTCCGGGGCCTCTTCCTCCCAGGGGCCCAGCCACGCGACTCCACGATGGAACACACCGAGCTAAGACGCGCTGGAGCTCCACCAGAGCCCTCAGAGCACACAGCTTTCCTGTCGGTCTGCCACACAGACTCCCGTGGCTGGTTTTTAAATCCCCCCAAGGCCGGCGAGGGGCCCCACTGCCTTAGGTTAGTTAACACCGGCCAAAGAAAGAGTGACTAACTTTAACGCAAGTGTCATTCTCATACTTCAAAGACGGAGTAACAGTAAAAATAATTAACATTTATTGAACACTTTCTATGTGCCTGGTACTATTCTATGCATCTTCCACGGATTACCTCATTTAATCCCTACACCAGCCCCTGAGGTTGGAGCCCGCGTTGGCTCCAGGTTTCAGGTGAAGAAGCTGAAGGACAATGAGATTAAGTGACGTGCTCGTGTTCCTTAAGACGCACCCAGCAGAGGGCCTGGCATACATCAGGGGTGCAACGCTCACACCACCCGAGCCTTGGCCAAGTGAGGCCCTTGGCAGAACTCTGGGAGGTCGGCGATAATGTGGTCTTAGCTGGTGCAGCTCCTGACCGGCAGAGGTGGACTGTGACCCCAGGACGTGACTCCGGAGCCCTTACTGTCAAAAGAGGGTGGGGAGGGGTGGTTGAGAAGGGAAATGCAGTCCTAGCCCTTTATATATTCTACCTACAGCGAGTAGTTCAACAATTCAGTCACCAAACAGGAAAGCCGTGGAATCAGCCCCGCAGTCGCAGGCTATTAGCACAGAATCCTAACCGCTCGGACCCTGAGGCACTTGGGTAATCCCCTATTTCTCTCTTTCCCAAACTTTCTTTAATGTAATCTTGCTTTTAAAACTAAACAAGTACATTCATATAAACCAAGTGGAGTTGTCAGTAATTGTGCAGCATCCAGCGAGCACTGCTAGAATCATTAAGCCAGAATCTGGGGGGAACAAGGACCAAGGCAAGATCCAGTAAAATGTATTTATAAAACAAAGAGCCTCTTCAGAGATCTGATCATCAGCCAGCTTTGGAGGAAACAAAGAGGTAGGAGATATAAACCATGTCCTTAAAATGTTTAAAAACTAGTTGGGGACAAAAAACTACGTTAAAAGCTACACATCGGAAACGATTCTGCTTGATCCTCGTGCTCCTGCCCTCTTCCCGCCCATCCTTCCCACCAAGCTCTGGAAAGAGCCGGATGTTGGTGATGCCCCCACTTTCTCGCCTCCCATTCACTGTTCGCTCCACCCTGCCAGCACCATCAAACGTGCTCCTGATTCATCCCATCCCTGCTCCCCAACCCACACCACCCTCTGCGGCCTTGGGGTGACCGCCCGCAGCATCGCGGCTCCGGCTGCCCACGCCCGCCCCAGCTTCTGGACAGCGCTCTGCAAGTTCGCCTCCCGCTTCTCTGAATAATTTTCCCCAGGCTCCTCTTTCTCCCCCACATTTTCCAGGAGCTCTGTACTGCTTCATTAGATTCACTCACATTTCTGACGTTTATTCAAAAGGTCCTGAGCTGGGGATCTGAACAGTGGAACAGCAGGTCCTTCTTCGACTGGCCCGCATGGAGCTCCTTATTTCTTGCTCTCGTCTGTCTTCTTTTTCTTCTCTTTCCTCCCAGTCAGTCCTCACTTTCCTCCCTCCTGATCTCCTTCCTCCCCATTTCTCTGCTTCCCACAGTCTTCTTCTGCATCTTGGGATCAGCACTCACCAGCTGGATTTGGGGATCTGCCCTCTTCAGTCGCAGGCAAATCCCCATGATAAGTACCTGGATGCTGGTGGGACCCAGGTGGGACAGGCTACAGCACCTGTCAGGTGCTGGCTCCAGCTGCACAAAGGAAACTGCCCGTCCAGAGGCTGAGAATGGGCACATGAAGCTTCCCACACTTGCAGTCCACACCCCCTGCCCACCAGATTTCCCTTCCCGTGGCCTGGGCCCACTGGAATGAGGTTACCATTTCTTCCAGACTGCTGGAAGATGACTCTGGGAGTCCAGGAGTCAGAGCTGGGGACCGAGGGTAGGCAAAGAGAGATGGGGAGCAGGGTAGAGAGAAGGCCCAGATTCCCAACCCAGTGTTATTTCTGATTCTAAAGATGATCTTGGAAAGGTATCTTTGGCTTTTCATTCCATTTTCACAATTTAACACAGGCATAAACAGAGCTCCCCACTTTAGGGAAATATATTTATCCCTCCAGAAATATTTTTAAATGGGAATGAGACCATTGAACCATGTTTAATTTCATACCCCTGTTTGCACTTATTTGATAGCAATAGTATCAGCCTCACATTGGTATAGCTTTTTAGCAGTTCACAAAGTGCCATCACATACCTTATCTCATTTGATGCTCAAACTAGGTAAGAGATGGGGAAGTTGGGTGCCACGAGACTTGCCTGCAGTCGTGCAGACACTAACTCAAGAGCTGGAACCCAAACCTGCCTTGTTTTACAGCCTTTGCTAACCACCACCTTCTTGGCATTTCTACAAATAGCACTCACCTCAACTTTCCATATCTAAACCCTTTTCTATCACTGAAAACATATGTAGGTTCACTTAAGTGGGCAGCTGACGAACTTAACCCATGGACAGAGGGGGAAATAGCCAATGCTAGTTCATGAAAGTCAATTTGGGGCATCAGGTAAAGAGTGTGTCAAAATGTCAGCACCTCATAAACCCTTTTCTTTGAGGCTTGGTTAGCTTGCACACAGTCTCCTTGCACGCAAGATCAAAGGCCAGGCTAATGAAACCTGTGTGTGGGAATGGAGGGTCATTTATAATGCGTAAATCCTTGAAGAGTGACAAACCCAACGATGAGAAGTCTCCTTGACTCATCAAAAGCAGACAGAGAGAGACTGGGAGAGCCCGAGAGCCCATCTGTAGGCAGCATGGGGTCAACGTTCCCAGGAAGGGGCCCACCAGAGTCCACCGGTGGGCATGGGGAGGGAGTGCCCAAAGTGACCCACTTGGCCAGAAAGGGCTTGACTTGAAAATCAGCCTCTGAGGCAGGAGCTGGTAGTTTGCTCTCCATTCACTCAGAGTGGATGTGCATGGGCTGAGTAGCGCCTGCAGGGAAGGTTTCAACAAACTGCGAATGGTGAGAACAAATCTGGAGGAGCACTGTTTAACCACCAGGAGTGCTTAAAGGACTTCAGTGGTTTGTGCACAATGATGCTACTAATCACTCACAAGTCTTAATTATTGATACAAGCAAGTCGGGCAGACTCGACTCAAAGAGACCGTTAGTGGCTAGAGTCAGGTTCAGATCCAGGGACCCTTAGAAATGGTTCTGTCTTTTTACTACCGAGGAATCTGAGTCCCAGAGAAGTTTCAAGAGTTGCTAAAAGACACATACGGAGATGTAGCAATACCAAAATTAATCCTAGGTCTGAATCCAAAATGTGTACTATTTCCTTTACTTTTTTTTAATAATAGGAGAAAATATTACCTATAATCCTGCCATCCTAATAGAACCTATGAATCTTTTTCTCTATCTTCTTCCAGATCTGTCATGTGCATATATTTTATGTGGGTGTAATCACAGGGCACGCTCACTTTTAATTGTGGCTTTTTTAATACCATGTTGTCTTAGAATCTTCATAATTCAATTTTTTATGAGAGCTACTCTTGAGGGAAACCACTATAACTTTCTTAACCATTCCCCGATGTTGAACCTATAGATTGCTTCCAATTTTCCTCTATTATACGTAATGTTCTTATGAAGATGTTCACACAAATAACTCTCCCCCATTTTTTTAAAATCTTTTATTTATTTATTTTTCCCCCAAAGCCCCAGTAGATAGTTGTATGTCATAGTTGCACATCCTTCTAGTTGTTGTATGTGGGACGCGGCCTCAGCATGGCCGGAGAAGTGGTGCGTCGGTGTGCACCCAGGATCCGAACCCGGGCCGCCAGCAGCAGAGCACACGCACTTAACCGCTAAGCCACGGGGCCGGCCCAACTCTCCCCCATTTTAAATGGTTTTCTCTAGAGTTGGGATTCCTGGATGAGCCACGGTTCTTAATACAGATGATCATGTTGCATTACAAAAGTGTCACCACTTTACACTGCCACCAGCAACACAACAGGATGTCACTCCAGCCAGTGCTGGTATTTCATCTTATTTGCTAACTATTTAAGGGGGTAAAAAACAAAGCTCTTTCACTATACCAGGCCATCTCTGTTTCAGATAAATGGCCACCTTCCAAGACCCAAATAGGGGACTGAGTAATACATGAGATGAGATCAACCAGCTGTACAAAGAAGTCACTGACACTTTAACAAGAACATGATCAAATGGCTACATCCACCATCTTAGTTCTAGTGACCCCTCAACGCTTCTCTCTGCTTTGTCAACCTGAGCCCTGAGATGATCCCCAGTAAGGCCACCTTGTTAGGCACACAAGACGTAGGCAAGGCAGCACAGACCCGGAGAGAGCCCAGGCCCCTGAGCCCCCGGTGTACAGAGAGAAGCTTTGCTTTGTCTCAGCTCCATGTATGTCCACAGATAGACACTTAATAGAAAGTGCCATCCCCAAAGCAGGATGACGAAATCGTGGCCTGGGGAGAAGGCAAGGAGAGCCAAAGGTGAAAATTCCAGCCAAATTCATTAGAATGCAAAGCTTCAAACTTCAGGTCAACGTAGAAGTTCTCCAAGAGATGTTGAAATTGTTGGCTAACTGTGGGAGAGGGTTCTGTTTCCTGTAATTAGACAGGCATTCTGAGTCTGAGTCTGAAAAGAAGCCGAGTTTCGTGCATCTCATATCCACGCAACAGTGGGAGAAACACAGAGTTTGCTTCAGGCTAGCATTTCGATCCTGGAATTCTTCTAAGCATTCCGAAGTCACGGGGACAGACTACTCACACACAGGGACTTCACCGGCCCTCAAACACCAAGCTCAGAAACCTGGGCCTCAACACCACCATCTGAAAAGCTGGGCTGAAACATGCTTTCGTTCATGAAGGAAATGTTAGAGAACCAGTAAAAACAGTGCGAGGTGAGTACGGTCTCCAATGCCGAACTGTCCCCACTGACTGTGCTGGGGACAGGACCACGATGAAAACCCACAGCGAGCACACCACAGACGCACAGGGCTTTGGCTCCCAAGCTTACTTGTCTGGGGTTGAATCTATGCTCTGCTACTGACTAGTTCCAGGACCTTGGGCAAGTTACTTAACCCCCCAGTGCCTCAGTTTCCCCACGTGCAAAAAGAGAATAGCAACAGTGCCCACTTCACAGTATAGGGGTTAAAAGCATGAACTCTGGAGTCAGCTCTGCCCCCCAGTAGCTGTGTAACTCAGGATCCTTAACCCTCTCTGGGCCTCAGTTTTCTTGTCTGTAAATGGAGATAATAATGGTATCTATTCACAGGGTTGTTATGAAATGGTATTTGTAAAGGGCTTACAGCACTGCCTGGCAAAGTAGGTCCTATATAAGCATCTGTTAAATAAATAAAGAGTAACATAGGAACGCTTGAGGATATAAGGCTGCTTGACCCGATTCTTGGCATGCACTCAGTCTTCGCCAAATGTTCAATTTTACTTTGAGGTATGATGTAAAGGGGATCAGACCTCGGGGGATCTCAGGGCACAGAATCTGGAAGGCCCAGGGCACCCTCCAGTGCTGCTTGTGGGCCAGGCGGCAGGGGAAGGGCTCAGCGGGGGAGGCTCAGGTAGAGGACCCAGGAGGAGCAAGAGTGGGTGGGAAGGGGCCAGATAAAGGTGTTACTGACAGGAGGCCGGAGGCTCCCAGCACCACAAGGAAGGCATGGAACTTCATCTAGCAGAACAGCCGGGTGCATAAAACCAAGCAAGACCAAAACAAGTAAAACAAATCTGTCCAGTTTACACAGCAAGTAAGCACTGGTCGTAAAATAAAAGACAGTATAATGCTAGAGCAGGAAGAATCACAGAGACCCTCCCTGGTCCACAGACATAAACACAGACTTTTCACGTCCCAGGGACCCTCCCTGCCCGCACGCACCTCTCCTGACCCCTGGTCAGCCTGAGAGAAACAATCTTCCTATCAAATGGAACGTATTAGGAATTAACAGATTCATCCCCCATTTTATTATGAATCAAATGCAAGTAAACTGCCAATCAGAACAGATAACACCAACTAATCATCATTAACAGAGATCATGGAATTACAATCAAAAGCCAAGAAACCTGATCCTACCCTCGAAACATCACTTCAGTTAAATCTCCAGCAGGCTTTTTACAATATTGAAACTATTTAAAATAATTTTCAAAAACCCCTAGGGATATGGGAACCACAGGCTGGGATCAATGACCTGGTTCTCCCCTTTCCCTCTCCACGTGGGGAGAAGACCTGGCCGGAGGTGAGTTGCCTAAGAGCTGCTAGCCCGAGGCTCTACAGATGTCCTGAGCAGACCTCCTTCCGTCAGCACCATTTAACCAGACACAAGGTGCTGGGCACCGGGATGATGACCAGAGTCAGTGCATGTGCCTGTGTGTGTGCATGTGTGTATGCAGATGAGTGTGTACACACGTGTGTGCGAACATGCACGTGTGTCTGTGTGAGTGCGACGGGGCAGAGGGGTAGGAGGCAACCTCCCCACTCTATTTCCCGTGGCCTTCAGGCTGCTTTAAGGAAATGGAGGAGACTTCCCAGGTTTCCCCACAAAGTCTGCCATAAAATAAATTCCAGACTATGAACAAATTACATAAAGAATACAGGAAAGTAATGAGCGACAGGGACCCTAGGGGTTGGGGCCATGCGGGGACAACCTCAAGGGACTCCACATGGGGCCAGGTCAGACAGCTCTGAGGAGCTCCACCTCGAAAGAGGGGCGGCAGCTGGCCATGTCAGGCCAAGATGAGGTGGCTGGGGAAACATGTGAGTAATGACACTTCCTCTGTTTGTCTCAGCTTTTGGTTGCCCAGGGCTACCAGACCACAGATTCAGTGCTGGCCTGCCAAAAATAAGAGATTACAGGGCTCTGTGGAACATCACAAAAAAATAAAAGTCACACCACACGCCTTTCACGTGCAAAGACTGGGTTTGTCTCAGTTTTCTTTCCTGCCTGTTCCTTGTTGGGAAGGGAATCCAACTATAAACTCAAGGACTTGCCGCTTCCTAATTAGAGATCGACAGAAACACATGTACTCACATATATAAAGTGTGGAACCATGTCAAACCGCTCCAGCCAAAGCCCCAAGGTCATTGTCAAAACAGGAAAGAACAACAAGCAAATTAATGAAACAGGGTCATGTTTACATTCCTGTTGAAGTGGATAATCAAACAAACCCTATGATCTGATCACAAATCTTTCCGTGAAAATACGGACTGAACTAAAAGATGTGATGTTCACAACTACTATACTTCAGGATACCAGTTATGAACACACATCAAATAACACAGTACACACAAGAGGGCCTAGTTCACACAAGAACTGGTCTGTACACAGGACTCTAACTGGCGAATGAGCATCCATGCCACCCTTGTCGAAAGCTGCTCTGACAGTCTCGCTGTGCACGGTAAAGAGTGTATCGGCTATTGGACTGGCACTCAACCCAGAAACAAAGGCAGGAGTCTGGTGTCTATTCTGTCTGTTCCAGCGCTGCACAACTCTTCTCCCCGCATCCCCTCCAATAAAGCTGGGCAGGGAAGGAAGAGTTGGTGATGTCATATGTTGACTGGGATCTATCTCGAGCCAACATAATTGACGGGTGTTTTCCTCCTAGGAACCTGGACTGAACTCAAAAACATAGCATAACATCTCTGGAGTCTGAACCATGCCATTGTACCATCATGTGCTGCCCATCGCCGGCTGAGGGCTAACTGTTCAATGGGTCTTTTTTGCTCCCAGTGGATTAATAAGACTCTGAATAAGAGCCAGTGAATCTGGACAACAAGGTTTAAGCCTGATAAGGGTCCCAGTTGTTCAGGGAGCCTTTAATTACACTTTACAACTGTGTGGGGAGCTGAGAGTTCAGGCTGCACCCCGACACCAGCCCGCACTACTGTCCATAAATTTAACTGCTTCCTCACATTATGCTCTCTTCCTTCCCAGGGATGACAGCAATAAGAGATAATAACCCAGATGCAAAGGAGAGCTCCAAGGGAACTTTTCTTTTTATAAAACTCCTTTAAGTGCACAAGTACTTAAATACCAAAAACCTGAAAAACCAGAAAGAAATGAGGAAAAACCCAAAATTTTCCATTATTCCATCATCCAAAGAAAATTACTATTAACATATTGATGTATGTCTAGCCAATCTCTTTTTTCCTACCCACTTATACACCCACATATATATATTTTTTTTACAAAAGTGGTATCATAATTTTATAGTATGTAAATTAAACTTCAATGAGGCTCTTTAAAAAAAGGTAGTATCAAATCGGACACAGTGATCCTGGCCTGCTTTTTTCCATCAATATATTATGAACATGTTCACCTTAATAAATATGTTTCACAATGGTTTTTATTTTTATTTATTTATTTTTTTTCTCAGGAAGATCAGCCCTGCGCTAACATCTGTCAATCCTCTTTTTTTTTTTTTCTGAGGAAGACTGGCCCTGGGCTAACATCCGTGCCCATCTTCCTCCACTTTATATGGGATGCCGCCACAGCATGGCCTGACAAGTGGTGCATTGGTGCGCGCCCGGGATCAGAACCGGCGAACCCGGGGCCGCCGCAGTGGAGCACATGCACTTAACTGCTTGCGCCACCGGGCCGGCCCCGGCCCCTCACGATGGTTTTTAATGACTACATGCTATTTTGTTCTAGAGATGGCCATCATTTACTTAATCAATCACCTATATTGGTCATTTAGGTTGTTTCTAATTTTTTCTCATCATAAACAATGTTACAATGAACATCTTTAGAACTAAATGTTTGCACATTGATTATTCTGGCTCAAGGGGTATGAACACCTTTCGTTTATAAATTTTTAAAGCTCTTGTTAGATATTGTCTTGCTACCCTCCAGAAAGGCCTTATCAACGTGAACACCCATCAGCAGTTTGAGTGCCCATTTCACTACACCCCAGCCAACACCAGGTAGAGTAAGTCCTTTTTATATTTGAAAATTTAGTAGACAAAAACTTAACTCATTCTTATTTTAATTTGTATTTCTTTTATTACTCATTCAGTTGAATATGTTTTCATAAGTTTAATGGTAGAATTATTTCTTTTATTTGTACGCTTTTTCTATTAAAGTGTTCATCTTTTTATCAAAATGTTAAGATCTCATATTTTAAATGCGTCAACCCTTTACCATATATTGCACATCTAATCTCCTACTTCTTGGTTTTCCTTTAATTATTTAACTCTGATGATGTTTTTAATTCCTATGTAGCCAAATGTCTCCATCTTCTCTGATTTCTACCTTTGAGGAAATATCTAAATTATATGACTCTTTGTATTTTCTTCTGGTTGTCTTTTGACGTTATTGTTTAAATTTAACTAACCATCTGAAAGGTATTTTGTTCTATGATGTGAGGGAAGGGGTTGACCTGTCTTTGTTTTTTGAATGGTTAACTATTCCAGCATAATACTGTGACTATGTCATCATGTCACCATTAGTTTGAAATGTTACCTTTTGAAATGTTACATACACTAAATACTTAGATACAGTTGGTTCCACTTATGGATTTTCTACTTTATCTTATTGATGTAGATGTCTCTTCTGGAGCTAGTGCCATATCACTTTAATTATTATATTTTTTTATATATAGCCAGTAGTGGTCTCCTGTCCTTTTTCATTATGTTCTTTTTTAATATTTTCTTGGCTTTTATCATCTGTTGATTCTTCCACCTGAACTTCAAAATCATTCGGTCAAATGTCAAAAAAACAAAACACTAAAACACTTTTTGAGGTTTTGGTTGGAATCACACCGAATTTATAGATTAATCTCTAAAGAATATGTTCTTTACAGTTTTAGGTCTTTCTATTCATTAATAAAGGATTTCTTTTAATTTTTTAATGTCTTCTTTTGGGTCCCATTTATAAGAATGCATTCTTGTAATTTCCAGTTATTTTATATTTTGTGTTGCTATTGTGAATGATATTTTTAAATTATATTTTTCATTTGGTTATTTCTGACATACAGGAAAGCTATTAATTTTGAATACATATTTTTTAACTGATCATCCTAATAAGCTTTCTTCTTCGATCCATTATTTTCTTCAGTCAATTCCTTTGAATATTTAAGGTAAACCATCTAATGAATAGCAATCATTTTGTTTTTCCTTTCCAATATTTTTACTTCTTATTTTTCTTGTCTTATTACACTGGCCAGGACTTCCAGAACAATGTTAAATAATAGGGACAATAATTGGCATTCTGTTCCCTTATTCATCTGGGAAGAGACATGACGAATTTGCTGGGCCAGCCCTGGTGCTCCTACCCAAGTTCCATGGCCCAGGGACCTGATGCAAAATGGCAATTTCAAGGCAAAGAGACAGCAGTTCCTATACATTTTCCACAACCGAATAAAATGCCTTTGAGAAACACATGAGATATTGAATACTAAAACAGATCAAATGAAGACAATGCTAATATTTCCTACGGTAAAAGCAAGACTTCACACGGAGGGGATTAGGGTGGAGATGGTCAGATGTCACACTTTTCATTAATCCTGCAGTGAAGAAGTGTTGAAAACATGGCGGCATGGAGCCTGAGGGGCAGTCAGCGGCTGATTTCCCAGCTCTGTGCTTTTGTCACGGATTAGGTGCCTCGAGAAACTCAAAGGTGGGTTTGGAAGCAATTAACTGTTTTTCCAAGTTGTTTCTTTTCCTTTTGTAGGTTAAGGAGATGTAACCACCAGCCATCCTGAAACTGAACAAGCCTCACTGCAAGAGCTATGCCCGTGACCTCTGCCTTATTTTTAATGCAAAGATCTCTCTAGGAGGAGCTTAGGCCTCAATACGTGGAAGCGTGTTCTCCAACTGAGCCTGTGCAAGCGAATACTCGCCTCTCCCTTTTGAATATTCATTCCCCAACCAAATAAAAGTTCCTGCTTTCCTTTGTTCGGGGACGCCATGACTTTGGAAATGATTCCTCACGGCCTCCTATTTGCTGCAAATACACTTTACTTTGTGAGACAACTTCCACTGGTGTAGAGTCTTATTTAACTCACCAGGAAGCGAGCCCACTTGGTTCAGTATCACTTCCTGACTCTCTCAAGAGGAAGAAGGCAAGTTCTCCCATGCATTCCTTCACCTCCTCTTTCTCCAACTGGGTCCATAACCCCCTCCTCCAGGAAACCTTCTGAGACCGTCCAGATGGAAGCTGTCCACTTGCCCTTCGGACCTGGCAGAGTACTCATCTGGCTTTCACCTCCTCCCTGGCATGACTTTCCGGGACGCAATGACAACTCACTATCCAAATCTGGCCATCTGACTTCTCACTCAAAATCCACAAAATTGTCAAAAAAGACCTCCATTCAGTCACAACAAATT